ATGTAATGGACCTCTATAACAGATTTCAGAAGACTTCTTGTTATCAGAAAGCTAAGGGCACTTCATGTAGCTCCATCATTGCTGCTGCTACTCTACAGAAGCATAATTGAGCCTATCATCCTGTACTGCTCAACCTGGTTCTTTACAATGTTAAAAGTGTCAAACATTAACAAACTCTTACACATTACACATATAGCTTCAAAAATCATAGGTCTTCCCACACATAGCCTGTCACATCTAAACAATAAGGTGAAGTCAAGAGGCTTTTATTTTTATTCCATCTACAAGTACACAGTGGAGCTAAATTACATTCCTCCAGGACCATGGTGCAACATGGAACAAAATAGACAATACAGACAAAGTGCAAACATGCAGAGGAGCAAGTAAGTATGTGTGTGTGTGTATGTGAGTTTAAAGTATGAGTGTGAGGGGGTTTCAGTTCAGTCCTTGTGAGTTTAAAAATCTGATTGCTTGCAGGACAAAGCTGTTGCAGAGTCTGGCAGTGTTGGCACAGATGCTCCAGTACCCTCTGCCAGATGGCAGCAGTGAAAAAAGTCTGTGTGAGGGATGGATGGGGTTGTCCACCATGCTGGTGGCTTTGAGGATGGAGCGTGTGGTGTAAATGTCCATGATGGAGGAGAGAGAGAACCCGAAGATTGTGGTCAGAGGCATTGCAATACCCAAACCAGGCGATGATGCAGCTGCTCAAGATGCTCTCCACAGTCCCTCTGTAGAACAGGGTGAGGATGGGAAGGGGAAGATGAGCTTTCTTCAGTCTTCGCTGGAAGACTGAGGTAGTAGAGGTGCTGCTGAGCTCTCTTGGCTATGGAGTTGGTGTTGAGGGACCAGGAGAGGATCTCTGTGATGTGAACACTGAGGAACTTGGTGCTCCTGACAATTTCCACAGCAGACCCATTGATGTTCAGTGGGGGGTGGTCACCTTGCATTCTTCAGAAGTCAACCACCATCTCCTTAGTTTTGTCCACATTTAGAGACAGGTTGTTGGTTCTGCACCAGTCCGTTAGTTGCTGCACTTTCTCTCTGTATGCTGACTCATGTACTTTGCAGTACAGTCGTGGGTCAGCAGAGTGAACAGCACTGAACTAAGCACACAGTCCTTGGGGGCATGTTTTGGAGATGGCCTGGCTCTGCCAATTGCAAATTAAAATTCAAACAAAAATGCAAACAAAAAATTGCAGTTACTAGAGACTAGCGCTGCATTTTTACACCATTCAGTGTTGATGTAAGCACACGGGCCCCCTCCTCGAGTCTTACAATCTTTGTTCAGCGTCTCTTCCAAGAAGCAAACGTTAGAGAACACGACCGATGGCACAGCTGGTCGCCTGGAGTTAGCCATTAGCCTAGCATGCACCCCAGCTTGTTTGCCTCACTTCCACCTTCTCGCACACTGTTTTCAATGAGCCAATGATTTCTCAGCTGTTGCAGGCTCTGGCAATGGCAGACGTTGGTGCTCGTTGTTGTAGTCATGATTTTTGAGATTTGGTCAGGTTACAGCAACAGATAAAACAAAAACAAAAACAAAAAGAGCAAAAAGCACCGCTTTGTTGTTCCCGAAGTGCCCGCTGCAGCTATACACTGCACCACCAGAAGTAATGAAAAGACCTAAATCACCCACTGCACCCTTTCTTTACTTCCATCAGGCTGGAGATATAGAACGCTAGTATGTAAGAAAAAAAACCCATCTTGCAAAAAGTTTCATACCTTCAGCCATATCAGCACTTAACAAGCTACCCTGCTGAAACAGATGTTTAAAGCCTGCTCTCAAAGAGAGTAACTGATGTGTATATGTAGGCCTTATGTGTTTAAATGTGCTTTTTATGGATGGGTTTGGTTGCTTGCACTTTGTCTTGATAGTGTTTATCCAAGTGTATGTAATTTTTCAAATGTCTGATCTCGTATGTGCCATAACACTGCATGAATGGCACAGGCTGTGAAAACAAATTTCCTCTATTGGGGACAATTAAATAAATTCATGATTTTACGTAAACATACATTTATTATTGTATGCACAGTTTATTATTTTATTTTCTGTTAAAAAAATGCATTCACAGAAAGTTCACCTGAGTATCTCCAGTTTACAGTGTGAGTTCTTCAATCCAGCAGAGAGCTGCTTCATTCCTGAATCCTGCAGGTTATTCTTACTGAGGTCCAGTTCTATCAGAAAGTTCACAGATTGCAGAGTCGACCACAGTTTCACAGGAGTCCTTGGTGATATAACAGCCAATTAGTCTGCCAAAAAAAAGATAAATAAATACAGCACAGCGGCAGAAAGAGACTAGCATGAATCAGAACATAGTAGTTCAGCTCTGCACCCCTGCACTGGCTGCCACACAACCACAAAGCATAAAAGATCCTCCCCTATGCTTTTGACTGAATATTAAGATAACACTGGACATTTCCTCAGCTGCAAAGACATTCCCCGCGATACAATGCGGTGCAACTTTGTAACACTATGACACTTTTGGCCTTTGAGGCTTCCTGGGCTGGCTGCCTGTGTGACGCACCGTAGTTGTGGAGTGAGACTTTCCCCATGGCTAAAGACTCTTTTTGGGCTAGCAAAGTGACCCTATATTGTGGTCATTGTAATCCCCCCTTGCTAGCTGTTGGAAATCTAGTGGTGTGTGTGTGTTTTTCTATATTGTTTTATTTATTGTTATTATTTATTGTTTGTTGTGTTGTTATTTTCTGATTTTTCACCTCATTTCATTGGCCGCATCACTGGTGAGATACATGATGCACAGTGGAACAGGGCATTGAAAAAACAGTAACACAAACCAACCAGCACCTTCATTAAGTATACCTCATTTTGTCTACAATCTTTATCCATTTTATAGTTTTACTCTCTGCTCTCTGCATAGTTTGTTAGCACACGTCCCCATCTGATCCTTTTGTACCAGTGCAACACACACTAATGCCACCACCACGTCAGTATCACTGCAGTCCTGAGAATGACCCACCACCCAAATAATGCCTGCTCTGTGGTGGTCCTGTGAGTGTCCTGACCATTAAATAACAGGCTACCAAAGTATGCAGAGAAACAGATGAATTACAGTCTGTAACTGTAAAACTATATAGTGTTTCTATATGGTCAGTGGAGCTGATAAAATTGAACAATGAGAATAGATACAAGGAAGTGAACTTAATAAAGTGGCTGGTCCGTGTATATGTTTATTTATGGAAATTCATTGTAAATGAATTACTTACTTAAATTACTTACTTAAACTGTAATAATATTACTGTATATAGTTGCATAAATAGTTTGTGTCATGCATCTGTCCAGCACTGACTCTCTTGTGGACTGATGGTAAAACGCTGAGGTGATTCTGACGGCTGGGGTCAGTAAATACCGGTCGTGTGCAGTGGGCAGGAACAGGGGTGACATTGCTGTCTAACTAGAGCAGCAGTGTCCTGACTGTGTGGCTGCAGGTTTTCAAGCTCCACAATGGACAACATGATGCACACCATGACGGAGGACAGCTGTGGCTGGCTGTGTTTCACTCCATCAATAATCAGAGTCAAAGTCAGCTTCATTCTGATCAGCTAAGACTGTGAAACACTGTTAGTTTATCAGAACAGCTGCTGTTCCCTGAATATCCAGAAGATAGCGCCAGAGTGGAGCTAATGACACCTCCTACTGTTTGGCATTGCATTTTGTCTCCGTTGTCATGCCATAGTTTTCTTCGCTCTGTGTACTTTTTAATAGGTTGATTGTTTCCGAGATTCTTTATGAATGGACTTAAAATACATTTTACAACAACAGTCTGTCCGAACTTTCATGACATCAACTCATGGTGCTCTAAAGGCCTAGCACAGTATTTTTCCTCCTCACTTGAAATCTTATTGTTGTTGTTTATTAGCAGGTAGCAGGAAGTTTGTGATTATCTTCATACTTCTGATTCAGTCCAGCATTTACAGCATTGAAAAAAAGATTCTTTGACTCAACAAGCCTCACTTACAAAATTCAGTTGCTTCTACTTTACACCAAAATCTTTTTAGCTTTACTTTTGAAATATGAGCAACGTACAAATGTAATTATTATCTGAATACATTCAATTAAATAAATTAAATGAAAGAATAATAGTCAATTAATTCAACAACAAGTTAAATTCAAATTCATCCAGCTTATTTTAGTTCAGTAACTACATCATATTCGTCCTGAGCCGCATTTTACAAATCCTCACAGTGCAGAGATCTTTTTTAATTTTTGGAAATTACCACTTTTGAACGCAATTCATTATATTTGTGCCGTTTTATGTTTTGTGCTTTGTGGCCAGTAAGACAGTTATGCTATACTATGCTACGCTAGGTAAGCAGCTAGTGACTGCTAGCTAAAGAAAATGAATAAAGTTAGCTATCGTGAAATAGCTAACCTTAAAAAAGTGATGTTTCTTCAGCCTAAAATTTTAAGATACTCTCATGTATAAATTGCTAATGTTGTATAGTTGCTTTAGAGACACAGAGACTTGTAAAATTGTAACCTGCCTCATTAGCTGTTTGGAATAATAGCTGCATCTGGACCACTGCAAGGTAAAATTAACCTTTACTAAACCTTAGTTAGCTACTGTCAACAGTTTGTATTAGTTTAGTGATTTAAAGCTTTTTTGATTTATCTGTTTATTGAAAAACAATGTGATTTGAATTTGAGGGGCTGTTTAATGCAGCTGAGGTCGAGTCGGAGGGGAGTGAGAGAGCGAGAAGCAAGTGCAGGACCTTACTTAAAGTTAGCTTGATTCGCAAGGCTGCCTAATGCTACTACATGTAATTAGCAAAGTTGTCCAGGCTGAATTTGCTTTCGCCTTGCTAGGGTTTTCCACTTCATGAAAATGTGTGACCGTGAGATGATAATGTGGTCATCCTGAACAACATTATTCATGACTCAGTGCTCTACAGGTGTTTAATCTGCTACCCTAAAAGTTCATGATTAATCGAAATTTTAAGGCAGTTAAAAAAAAATCTCCTGAGGGAGCATGCTACCACACTCCCTTAGTAAAGGCTTAGCCCCCATCCATAAATCTGTAGTGATGTACCTGCTCAGAAGCTAAAGCAGAGTAAAGCTTATCTAGTGTCGGAAAGATTTACCACAGCCTAAGATAAAAAATGAGAAATGTATGAAAACACCCATTCATAGAACCCAGAAGCTAAAAAGAGAAGACCACAGAGTTGTAGCAGTAGGAGCAATCTAACTTACTTTACACACGGTTTTATTCAGTCTCAAATCTGGGCCATGAATTCCTTTGTAGGCAGGGATCTGAACAGGCAGTTACAAAATCATCCACACAACGGATAGCTTCAATAATGGGCTTATTTATTCAGTAACCAGTAAATAATGCATTACAAGGTAAACATTGCATTAACTGATGGATTTAATTGACTAATATGCATGAGAAATATTATTTAAAGAATAAAAATAGATAAAATGGTGAAAGAAACCAGTAGGCTGAAAAAAAAGAGAGAGAGACAGAAGGATAAAGAACCAAGCACACTGTCAACTGTCACTGTCAACTGTCAAATCATCCATCATTGCACATATAATACAAATGAAACGCATTTGGGGGAGAATATGCAGTACCACACTTTCTCACTGAGTGTATGAGCTGCGGGCTTGACTGTGTTCAGTAACAGGAACATAACAGGAAATTACATTTCATTTTATGCTTAGCTTTTAGAAACAATGTAAAACAAAATGACAGCGTAAAACAAAAAAAACATCTTGAAATCAGGCCTGAAGTCACTTTAATTCCCCGCAGGCCTTTACTCTCAAGATGTTATGTGCTTTGGTTATTGGTCGTTACTGCTCATTTCCAACACTGCCCTTAGTGCACTTGTGGATTGTCCCAGTCTTAAAATGCCTGAAACTCTTTCCACACTCTGAGCAGTGATACGGTTTTACTCCAGCGTGAAAGCGCTGGTGTGTTTGGAGATTACGCTGTATAGTAAAACTCTTCCCACACTCTGAGCAGTGATACGGTTTCTCTCCTGTGTGAATGCGCTGGTGTGTTTTGAGAATACTGTGTTGACTAAAACTCTTCCCACACTCTGAGCAGTGATATGGTTTCTCTCCTGTGTGAATGCGCTGGTGTCTTTGGAGAGAGCTCTGTTGACTAAAACTCTTCCCACACTCTGAGCAGTAATACAGTTTCTCTTCTGTGTGAATGCGCTGGTGTCTTTGGAGAGAGCTCTGTTGACTAAAACTCTTCCAACACTCTGTGCAGTGATACGGTTTCTCTCCTGTGTGAATGCGCTGGTGTGTTTTGAAATTACTTTGTACAGTAAAACTCTTCCCACAGTCTAAGCAGTGATACAGTTTCTCTCCTGTGTGAATGCGCTGGTGTGTTTTGAGAATACTCTTTTGAGTAAAATTTGTCCCACACTCTGAGCAGTGATATGGTTTTACTCCTGTGTGAATGCGCTGGTGTGTTTTGAGATGACTCAGTTGCGCGAATCTCTGTCCACACTCTGAGCAGTGATACGGTTTCTCTCCTGTGTGAATGCGCTGGTGTATTTTTAGATTACTCTGTACAGTAAAACTCTTCCCACACTCTGTGCAGTGATAAAGCTTCTCTCCTGTGTGAATGCGCTGGTGTGTTTTGAGATTACCCTGTTGATTAAAACTCTTCCCACACTCTGAGCAGTGATACGGCTTTTCTCCTGTGTAAATGAGCTGGTGTGTTTTGAGAGCACTCTGTACAGTATAACTCTTTCCAGGATCCAAGCAGAAGTGATTTCTCTCCCTGAAGCATTTGTAGGATGTGTTCACATGGAGGGTACCAGATGATGTTTGCTGGGCAGTTGAACATCTACTGGATGCCATATTCTCATACTTCATCTGTTTCAGCAGCTTAATATTCCTCTTGGTGGAATGTCCTGATGTGTTTAAGGAGGCACCTTTAGGCTGAGTAGGAAAGTGCAGGAGAAGTCTTCAAACAAAACATGATCCATTTCTGGAAGAAGAAAAAAGAAAAATCTCAACTAAACTCAAAGTGCAATGCAACAAAAACAGTCTGATCCAAATGATGAATGCTCCACTTACAGCAACTGGCAGAAGGTGTAAAGAAAGAATGAACTTCCATCTGATGTGGACATTCACAGCTCTCACACTACACCCCCTTTACTAAACAGACCTCATACACCCACCATAGACAGCTATTGACTCGCTATAAATTCTTGTCTGCATTAAAAATGTTCTTCCGAGTGAAAATAAAGATTGACTGACTGAAGTAAGAAGAACTTAGCAAAAAAGTTTTTTGTATCTCTATATTACACACAAACTTTAGGAGTTTCATGACCATGTGTACTTCTAAAGTGGTGCTTAATAAATAAAAGGAAATAAAGCAACCTAACCAGGCTGAGACGTGTTCATTTTTTCTGCTCTGTCCCATCAACAATCTTTCCGCCTGCCTTGGAGGCATCTTAACTAAGTCATGTTTAAGAAATTAAATAAAGTAAATCAAAATAAGGATGTCAAGCAACAGGGTGAAAAGGCCTTCACTGGCCTTCTAATCAGCCTGGGTGGTGTTAATTTTTAGTATCATCCTTTAAGACCACCAAAAAAGCCAGATATTCAATATGAAAATATAAATAAAAAAAAAAATATATATATATATACATACACATATACGTATGTATGTATGATGACAGAGCTGGTGGTCCAATGCCATTTTGCTCAGCGTTTTCTGGCAAAACTTTGCTTATCATTTTTCAACCAAATTTCTGATTTTTCCTTCATTTCTTTAGTTACACTTTGTAAATTAGTTTGGTAAATAATTTTAATTTAGCAAAGTGTCAGCAACAACAGTGACTATAAAATCAATTTGTTTTAGGCTTAGTCATTATTTTTTTCTCAGCTGTTTGCAATATTTGTCTATAAGTTTATTTTCTAAAATACAAGTCTCTGAAAAATGAGTTTGAGGAGATCAAAAACTAGGTACAGCTTGTATGGAGGGTCCGAGGGTGGACCAGCAGTGGCAAACAGTCAGTAGGATGCCAACCTTTTCAAACCAGCAGACTGATACATGCTCGCTATCTGGGAAGTCTGACTGTAAGCAGTGTCCAAAAAGTCTTACTTACATGAAATACAGCCATATTTTTATTCTTCTCCATTCCAGTCCTTCAATGCTGACTCTGTTTACTGGAACCTTAGCTTACTAGCTAGCTAGCCAACATGCTAAAAACATTCAGAGCTGCTGCTCTGTTCAGCTCTCCAAACTCAGTAATGAATAGTTTTAAGTAGTTTTACTGATTTATCAAACACTGCAGTCGTATTTATAACTGATATCACTTTACAAACAACGTGCATCTTTATGTTTTTATGATTATTACTTACTGAACATGTAGCAGCTGCAGTGACTGTCTATCTGTCCGAGACTGAGCCGCTGAGATTTTGAATCCCAGCGCAGCTCCGTGATTCCGCGAGCTCATTGGTCGAGCTCGAAGGCGAAGCTGTCAATGCTGTTATATGATTGGCTGTGATCGAGGAGGCGGGACGTAGCCTGGCAAGCTGAGCAGCCTGTAAATCCACGTTCAGAGCCATGAGGACCGCGTGTTGTGTTTGGGGGAGACTCTGAAACGGAGACTCAGTCTGAGATTAAAGAGCTGTAAGTGCTGCTTTAAGCTGGTTTCAGTCCTTATATGTCGGTGTAACTGACTGATGAGGGTCTTTAAATGTCTGTTAGAGCCTCATTGATGGATATGCTGCTCATCCTGCAGTGATTTAGAGGAGGAGCTGCCGTGATCGGGTTTGGGGGAACTTATGTGTGTCTTCACGCTGTGTTTATTAATGTCTGCCGTCTGAAATATTCAGATAGTTAATGTAAATATCTTAATTTATGTGTGTTTGGGTGTCTCGGTGGTTTGTAAATGGGCTGTGCATCTGAGGAGCCGCAGATGTGGCTTTTCCCTTTCTGTGTATGATATGGAGGTGTTTTTATAAGAATACACAAAGTTTAAAGTGGGTTTATACACTGACTGCAGCAGTTGATCATGTAATTAAGTGATTATTCTTTTTTTTTTTTTGTATTTGAGGATATGGATTAATCAGTCACTGCTTAGTATAATCTTAAAATTAGTGTTTATCCTGTAGCAAATGACTCAACCAAACTAGTAATTGTTCTGGATGGAATGAGTCTTTTTAAGGTTGAACTTGATCCTCTACATTACAGATCCGTGGTGTTTTATTAATGGCATGAATCACATATATTGACTTTCAGTTATTTCAGTAAATTGTGAATTATGTGAAATTCTCTGTAGTTTGGGACCTTTTATTAGTAAGGTGAACTTAAACACAAGTAGACTTACACTAACTTGAGGTGTTTATATTGAGCTGATGTCAGAGAAATTACATTGAGTGTGTTTACATGCACTCAATAATCCAATAACTGCAGAAAATCAGATTTTGTCAGTAATCTGATCAACACGTTTACATGCACTTGAGTAATCAGATAATGGGAAACTCCAGGACTCACAGAAGAAGATATGACGAAAATGTAACGTAAAACCTTATACCGTGGCTTTTTTTTTTAAACATTGCGCCACTTTACCTGAAAATATGAACATACATCATTGAGAAAATGAAGAATTTTTAAATCCTTTGTTACATATTTGGTTTAAGCACCACTCCATCAGTGTTTTGCTGCGTCTCGCGACATCCACCGACTGAGAAATCCAATTTCTGCAGCTATCCGATTATTCAAATTATCATGTAAACATCATACAGTTAAGAGTCGTTGCCATGGCAGCAGCATGGGGTATGTGCTTTGGTAGCAAACATGCAAAACTGAATAACGAAACACTTCCTTATTAAAATAACAATAGGCCTTATTAAATTCTGATGCAGTGGATCTTTGATTTATGGATGTAATATGTAGCCAGTGCTCTTACAATTGTTACATAGTCTCCTGACTGTGATTATTTGTGCTGACTGTTATCATTCAGTGTGACAATGATCAGTTTGCAGTCATTAGATTTTACATTAGTATCTCCCTGTAATTGATTACTAGGCAGGTCAAGATATACAACATGTAAAATTTGATTTCGTGTAATACAGCGGTGTCTTAGTATGCAGAAATAAGTATTACCTTAATATGTACCTCATGGTCATGTACTAATATCAGTATGTTAATGTCTTTTCATTAAATCCAGTTTATCATACTTTTGTTTTGACCTTTTTAACATCAGTAACATTAGCTGTGTGGCTAAATAACCTACATTTTCAGCAAGTTCAAATCAAATCAAATCAGATTTATTGTCACATCACAAGAGTACAGGGACACAGGTGAGTGAAGTTTACATTTGAGCTGTGTGTGTATGATCGGTTGTTTGGTAACAGGCATGACACTTAATTGTCGGCTTTACTTAAGTAGTTTAGGATTTAAATAAACTTAATTTATTCTGATTTATTTATTTATGTTAGTTCAGAGAGACTTGTAGATTCTTATTGTCCTTATTTTGTGTTAAATGGCAAGTTAGGGAACCCCTGGTCAAAATTTCTGTTAATGGTAATAGTTAAGTGAGTAGAAGATGAACTGATCTCTGAAGGGTGTAAAGTTAAAGATTAAACATTCTTTTCAACATTTTATGCAAGATCAGTGTTTTATTCTACTGTGCAGTGACACCTACACAAATATGACCTTCATGGAAGAGTCATCAGAGGAAAAGCTTTCCTGTATCCTCACCACAAAATTCAGCATCAGCGATTTGCAGAGGGCCGTCTAAACAAGCCTACTGCATTTTGGAAATGAAGTTAAACTATAACTTTTTGGCCACACTGAGCAAAGGTGTGGTTGGAGAAAAAAGGGTGCAAAATTTCATGCAAAGAACACCTCTCCAACTGTTAAGCACAGGGGTGAATCGATTATGCTTTGGGCTTGTGTTGCAACCAGTGGCATGAGGAACATTTCGCTGGTAGAGGGAAGAATGGATTAAACTATTTCAGGAGTTTAATGTGCAGCTGTGTGGTAAAAGCCTGATCGATGCTGTAGTGATTAAATTTTTCTCTAATTCAGTTCAAAACCTCAGTGTGTGCAATACAGCATTTAATTAAAACATGCCATGAAGTTCACAAAATATCATGGTGGGAGGTACACCGATCAGGCATAACATTATGACCACCTCCTAGTTTCTACGCTCATTGTCCATTTTATCAGCTCCACTTACTATAAGGTGCATTTTGTAGTTCTACAGTTACAGACTGTAGTCCATCTGTTTCTCAGCAAATTTTGTTTGCCCTGTTTTACCCTGTTCTTCAGTGATCAGGACTCCCATGGACCCTCACAGAGCAGGTACTATTTGGGTGGTGGGTCATTCTCAGCACTGCAGTGACACTGACGTGGTGGTGGTGTGCTGGTGTGTGTTGTGCTGGTATGAGTGGATCAGACACAGCAGCGCTGCTGGAGTTTCCTTCCGTCCATGTCGTTCGTTTTCATGTCAGCTAATCATTTAAAAAATGCTATGGACATATCTTTAAGTGAGTGGCTACATGGTCTTAGTTGATTCCTAATAGAAAAGACAGCATTGTGCACAGTGAGGCCCAGTGACGTTCAGATGAGATTTCTGTATATTAGATCTTGAATAAATATTAAGCTTTTACATTTAATATGTTAGGATAGGTAGGGCATGCTTAGTTAGACAGTACATTGTCAATTACACACTTCATCCACTGCTAGC